GTATCAAAGTGAGAAAAGGGCCAAAGGCTTTTCTTCCCATCTTTCCAAGTGTTGTGTGGTGGGTGGAGGCTTTTTTTCCATATCTATTCCTGGTTGAGATGAATGAACAGGGCCTTTAAGTGGAGCTGTGGTTGCCCTGAGCAGCACTCACAGCCGGGGGCTGTTGCAGTGTTGACTGCAAAGTAAAAGATACAATTGCATTTCTGCTGGCACCCAGTGTCTGTTTTCAGGATTTTTAGTAATAAGGAAACATCTGCTTTTCCAGTTTTTTTTTTTATGAGTAAGGGAGTAAATGGTTTGATCTAGTCAGCACTGTTTTAAGTTCTTAGTGAAAATCAGGAGAAAGGAGAAGATGTTTTAAGTGATTAAAGTGAAGATCATGCATGTGTATTTTTTGTTGTTTTTTAAAACCATATTCTCATATGTAAATAGGTTCAGCTCAAGAATCTGGAAATTGCCCAGTTAAACCCTATTTCCTCTCACCAGGAGATATCTAGTCAGGAATGCTACCAAATAAAAAAAAGACCAACCAACAGCAACAATAGTTTTGCAAATGATTCTGTGGCTTAGATAAATTAATAAATAAAGAAATTTCAGCATTTTAGAGCAGGTTAACAGGGGGGAAAAAAAAAAATCCCTTCTCCATGCAACTTGAAGAGCAATGGTGATGCAAGTAGCCACTGATCTCTGGGAATCTGGTCTGCCCTCAGGGGGTCTGTTCTCTAGTGACAGAGGAGAGGTAGTTCATCCTCTGTCTCTGATGGTGGCCTGTGTTAGTGACTTTCCTCATATCACCTGATAATCAGAATGGATTTGAAACCAGGACCTTTTTTTTTTTACCACGTTCTTTGACAGGTGTTTGAGAAACAAGCAGTTGCATGACTACTTATCTTAGAGGTGTTTAATTCTGTACACTACAAGGAAAGCTTTACATTGAGGTATTTATCACTTGCATTTATACTTTACTTCCTCCAGACGTGGCTCACTAGAAATGGCATCTTGCTTGTTTTTGTCCTAGTCTCCTTTTTCTTGTGTGCAAGTACCTAACCTCTCATTTCTAAAGGATTATCATTTACTAATTCTGGCACTTAAAATGTTATCTTCAATATTTATTTCTTCTGATTTAATGGTGGATTGTTTTTTTGTTTTTTTTTTTGTTTGTTTTTTAATTGACTGAAGAAGTTTACCTGAAGTGGAAATGTAGATTATAGGTGGTTGAGCTTTCATACTGCATCTGTAGAGGTTGCTTTGGAGCTTTCTTCATGCTTGAAAAGAGGAATTTAAAAAAAAGAAAAAAGATACTTTTCTGGCTGAGGGTGTTGTCCATGAACTCTCCTGCTTTCTGTAGAAAGGGAATGGAACAAACCAGCATAAATGGGATGGTGGTGATGAAGTACCAGTGGAATGAAGTAAATTGAGATGTAACTACCCAATACTACTATGCAACTTCTTGAATTTCCACCAAAGACAAGTTTAATATTTTAAAGTAAAAAGATAACTTATTCATTTGGTTGAAGATTTTATCAAAATAAAGACTTCATGTCTGTTTGAAGGGAAAAGGGGGCTTAATTCCTGATAGTTAGCTAAGCAGTTAATTTTTTTTTACAGGAAATCTAAATTTAATAGAAGACCCCAGGGAAATTCAAGGGTGTGAACAATACGCATAATATTTTATGAAAATGACCCCCATATTTAAAATCTGGCATTATATGTTATGCATTGTAGCACCAAGTCCACATCTACCTTTTAGAAAATTAAAACACATAAATTCTGTTTAGTGTTTGATATGTGCTGCACTAGCTGAAAGCCATAATGCCCCTAAAACCTTGGGTTGCTTTTCACCTTTCATAAATTCCTGGGGAGATTCTATACAAAAAATAATTTTCAGCTCCGTGGCTCATTGTTATTCAAACTTGATTGATCGTCGTCATTTACTCAGTGAGGAAGTTAAGTGCTCCTGTCATTTCCGAAGAGTATAATTGGGACGTTTCACAGGTCAGCGGTAGTGACAGGTTTCCCTTTTGATTAGTGTTAGACTGATAACAAAAATTACAGTTTCCCATGATTAATGTTTTCTATAGTACTCGAATGCACAGTTCATGGATTGTACCTAAACAAAGTGAATTTGCATCTGATTATGCCTTTTCTCTGTCAGGCTTTTCGCGTGCTTTAAAGTTTTAGGCCGTGCAGGTTATGCAGCAAAGTTGCTTCTAATGCAGTTTTCAAGTTGGGGATTGGAGAAGCCCACTGAATTTTAGTGTGTTACTGTATGGAGAGATACATGTCCCCAGTGACATGTGAACAAATTTGGGGAAATTTCAATTAAAGATAGCACCCAGCATGCCTTCTAGTCCTCTCAGATATGACATGCAAGGAAGTACTGGTATTATATCCCTGCTACTTTAGGTAAAATCTGGCAATTTAAGTTAAATGATCAGTCAGAACCGAGTTTTCTTTCTCTTAACACTGTTTCTCAGTTCTTTAAACCTGTTGCTGTTTATTTGTTTATAGACTGCTGAGTAAAAACTGTGGAAACACACTGAATTTACCTTCCCTGCTTTATGATGTGAAAGTTGATCAGCTTGTACATTATGGCACAAGGTTGCAGACTAAGATAATCTATGACAGGTTTTAGCTTGGTGAAATCTTCTTTTAATAGCTAGAGGAGAAATGGAACCTGAGCGTGCAAAATACGGTGTTGTCCAGCTTGTAGCACAATAGGAGTGGAGGTTATTTGTGAATTTAATTAATTTGTTCCTAATAGATGAAAAGAGGATGACAACACCAGCAAAATATCAAAATCAAAACACAAGCAAACTTCTCTTCAGTCCATAGCCCTCTTCTCTTGTGCAGTACAAAGCCTGATGATTTTTTTTCGTTCTAGAAGCCGTTGGGAAGGTCTTCTGAAAGTTGTAGTTTAACACAGATGTTCTGCTTTCAAGTCTGGTGGCTTTGGGAGTCTGTGATGAGTGGTGGAACATTTGCCGCTCTCCTTGGTTGGAACTCTTATCTTGGCTCAGTGTTCATCTGGCCAGGCCAGGTATGGTCTGAACTGCTGCTTGCTTTTACATGAGGAAGAATAATTGCAGGGGGAAACAAAAAGTAATCCCGGGTGCAGGATCCTCCAGGATAGCCTGGATGTTGGCAGCTCTTGAGGGAGGGATAATTGTGCTGAAGAGACTTGAGTAGTGGGTCTTGCCTGCCTTTGGCAGCAGGGTACTCTCAAACATGGTTATGATGAGTCTTTATTTTAAAATGAAGACTAATTAGGTGTTTTCTGGTGAGAATGAAATAGTAAATCAGCTCTGGCCTTCAGGAGAGTAAATCTTTCTTTTTTTTCCTCTTCCTTTTTTTCACTGGAACTGCAGCTTTCTTAAAGTGAATTTTTAAACAAAGGGAAGAATCTTACTTCTAATTTGTACCATCCATTCATTATGTGTTAATGTGTATCAATGTGCATTAATACCAATTAATGTTCTGTATTAGAAATTAATTCATTCCAGCTTACAAATAATACTGACCCTCCAAAAAATACTAATTTTTTTAAAGGAAGTTGTTATTTATTTTAAATTCTTAACTACATTCGATAAATCAAGATTGGTTTCTAGGTTTTTGGCTTCAGAGTATATGTATGATTTAAAGGAACTCAGCTGTGACACAAGATTAGAGTAGTGCATTAAATTGGGAAAATTCTGCTTCAGGCAAAACCTACAGTATCCTCTGGTGCTTGTAGCAATGAGGAGTTGATATGAATATCAACAGAAGTCAGGTGCACCAAGAGGAGTAAAGAACACAGTTGAAAATACTGAAAATGATGCTGTTCCTTATCTGGGTTGCTGCAATGAAGTGGAAAAAAGTGATAGCCTGTGCTAAGGTTGGATTAAGGGGATAGCCCTTATTATTTCCTAGAATTGTAAAAGCACATGGGAAATGTACAATAAAGTGCTAATTATGTTGTTGTTGGGAATAAGGTGACTCTGAAGGTGGGCAAAGGAAATACAGTGTAAAGCCTTCATCATTGCTACCTTTTTAAGGTAGCTGGCATTTGCTGTTTTAAAGCTCTGGTAGTACAGGCTGTGTCTGGTGGCACAGATTCTTGAAGCTTACGTGTAATTTAGAATAAAAAATCATTTTCAGGTGTGGAAAAAGCTTAGAAAAAATGGAGAGATTTGCTGGGGAATATACAGTAGTAGCTGGATGAAATGAGATATAGGAAACCACTTAGGTGAATGAATTGCCCTGGCTAGTTGGTAGGAACTGCATTTTTTTTTTCAGCTACTTGTAGATACTCAGTTTCAGACTGCAAGACAGACCAAATGCACATTTTTAAAAAATCCTGTTTTGTTGCTCTTAACCATAGCAGTGTGTGCAGTCTAATGGAATGAACGGTTGGGATGTACCAAATGAGCTAAGAAATGAGTGTTGCCAGTTATTTTTAGTGCTGTTGTGAAGAAACACAGTGAACCACTGTAGTTTACTGAATATTCCTACTCGGGTCAGTATTAACTTGCCAGTTCATCACCTTCCCCTCCTGTTTGCCTGCTCTGGTTTTGAGCTCTGAAACAGTTTGTGATACCATTTAACATGCCACAGACTATTTGGGTGCTGCTGAATGAGTGAAATAATCCAAAGGAGAAGAGGTAAGGCTATAATTTGCTCATTAAATCAAAATCTGGATGTTGTTTTAAGATTTTTTGGTCTTATTTCATAGCTTCACACTTTCTCAGACTTCACCAACTGTGTGTGTTCTAATGGATAAAAGGGGCTTTAAAGAAGCCCTTAGGATAGACTATGGCTTTAGAGATAAAATGTTAAGCAAAGGCCTAATCTTAGATAAAGATTAAATACATAATTAGGGAAATAGTTTTGACATAGAGCAGTCTCAGTAGGGCTATCAAGATGTCTGCAAAATATTTTCAGTTAAGTAAAGGGAAATGAAAAGCAATCTTTACATTTACAAAAAAAAAAAAAAAAAAAAACCAACAAAAATATCTCTGCAGATGAAAGCCTTGGATGATGATGATGAGGAGGACGAGGAGGATGAAGATGACTTTGTGGAGGTCCCCGAGAAGGAAGGTTATGAGCCCCACATTCCAGACCACCTGCGTAAGGAATATGGTGAGTTTGCCCAGCTGTGACAAGCTTTATCCCTGCGTGTTGCTGCTGCACTAAAGTAAATAAACAGCCATTCCGAAGTAATAAAGTGATCAGTGGGGTGGGTAATCTCTGCCTGCTCTGAGGAAGTCATTACATGGACACAGGAACAGCGATTGGCTCCAGATAAACAAATACTTTCTAGGAGCAGGAGAGACCAGCAGCTTATTTCATTCCATCCGTGGAGTTAAGAGCCAGAGGCAGCCCCCTGTGTGCTTGTAAGTGTGCAAAACACATACTGAGAGCGAAGGGACTGCCAAGTAAAGCTGTAAATGAGCTGGAATATTAGAAATGCTGGTCTGGTGAGATGGGAGAAGGTTCTGTTCCACCACCTGCATTAGTAGCAGTTGGAGGTGCACAGCCACTTCCTCCCTTAGAGCTGGCAACTTACAGCTCTGCAAGGTGGCTGAAATGAGATATTTGTTTGTGTGTTCTAAGTAGGTAATTTTTAAACAGAGGTACACTTACAATGTGTTTTTGTGAAATTGAGAGGGGAGGTTGCTGAGGAAAAGTTCATCTTAAATAATTCAGTTTTGCTGCATTACCCTTTGTCCTTTGCACATCTCAGTAAGTGTCTGCAGCTTTGCCTCTGGGCAGCATCGTGTACTTTAGGACTCATAAGATTTCAGTACATTGTAGAGAAGGAAAGGGTAGCTGCCACCACATAGAAGTTAAAAATCTTGGCCACTGTAAGAAGTGTCTTGCTTCTTTGCTCCTCTGTGACTATTTGTGTAAGATTTGTGCTGTGCTGTGCCTTTTTCAGTCCTATTGATGCTTATGTTTCATTTATCTGCAGTTTCCATCTTGAAAGTCAGGCTGCAGCTGTTACCTGTACAAGCCAAACGTTTCTTTTGGCTGAAAAAAGGGGTGTGCCTGTGTAAACCCAAGATTGTGTAGCTCAAGTGATCTTTTTACTGTCCTCTGCCATCAAAGTTGGCTACAGACAGTGAAAGGTGATCAGTAACAATCACCTGTAGTTACAGGGGTCAGCTCAAGGGTGTCTCCAGGTGGGAAGTCCTGCTTGTGCCTCAGCCCATCTACCCAATCGGGACCTAACCTACCAGGATACCCTGGGAAGTAAGGCCTGCCTTGATTATCTGATGTTCCCCACCTAAGGGGACTTGCAGCAAGTCCAGCTGGCTGGTTCCAGTTTGTTTGAATGTGGTTCTCTTCCTCCATGCCTTTAAGAGAGTTGGAAATTTTCAACTGCAGATTCTTAGAGGCCTGGGAATTCGACTGGTACCTTGAGCAGGGAGCTGCAGTGAGGTTTGGTGTGGCTCTTGGAATAGGTGGTGCCTGAAACAGCCTGCAGGCACTTACTTTGTCCAGCCAAGAACTGGGGAAGATGAAGTGGAATTGGGAGCACTGAGATCATGAAATGGGAAGCAGATGTGTGTGAACACAGAACAGTGGCAGAGGCCTGGAGGACACAAACTCAGGAACTGGACAGTCTTTTATTGTTTTGTTCATGGAAAACAATGTTATATTTTGATAAAATTATACCTGTGTGTGTTGGTTATCCCAACTGTGTCAGTCTTGCAATAAATACTGAGTAAATTCTGATTATTGCTAACAGTGGGACTTTGAGAAAAGGAATATAATGGAAAAGAAAGGCAGCAGCTCTCCAGACAGTTGTGAAAAGCTTCTTATATATGTGTGACTGATGGAAGAGTCCAAAGCATTGGTAATGATAGTAAATGAATGAACAAATGAGGTTGGTTATTTACGTAGCTGTGGTTCTTCTTTTTTTTCTTTTTTTCCCTTCCTTTGGCACTATTCCTTGTGCCAAAACTGGTATTTTTGTAATATTTCCAGGTACTGGAAGTTGTTTTCCATATCTTTAGCAGCAGCCTAAAGAATTCTAACCTGCAAAAGTTCTGTTTGTACTTGTCAGCTTCCACTGGAAGTGAAATGTGTTCACCTCTTTCTTTTTATCCTGTCTTCCTTGTGGACACACATTTCTTAAAAACAAAGTGTTTTACCACCCTTTTTATCACCCTAAGGCAATATTTGGCTGCTATTTGAATTCCTCCTCATGGAAAAGGATGAAAGAACAAGGCTGCTATCTACTCAAGGCTATTTGAGTGTATATATAAAAATCTATATAAAATGGATTAAGAAATTCCCAATTTGTATTTAAACAATTGCTGATAGGAAAATACATTATAGTGCAGCAGCCAATCAATCAGGAAACAAAAATCTCTCACTTTATATACATGTAGTTATGTAGGAGCTAATGGTCACACTTGGCTGTTCTTTACCTGGTGTGTTTGTTAAAAATAGCATTTTGAAAGGATTCATCATTCCTGATTGTTTCCGAAGTCATTCAGCTTTACTCACTGCCATTAAAATTATTGCATAAGTTCCCAGTTCAGGAAAGGGTCTTAAAATAACTCAGAATTCCTGAAAGGAATTCAGGCAATCTTTTAAGCACATGCATTCTTCTGTCTTTGTGTACTTCAGTTGCTTTCTTGGACAAACTGGTGAGTTACCAGTTCAAAAATCTATCTCACAGACCAATATATAAAACTATTGCATAAACCAACTGACTTCTGTGATTACTTCAGGTCTGCATGAGGCAAATTTGCTCTACTGGGTTCTCTTCTGCACTGTTTTTAATATGCAAAACCAAAATAAGCATCCCTTTGACACACTTCGTTTAGGAAAGTGAATTATCATGTCAAAATACACAATAATATATTGATTTCATAGCAGCATGTTCTCATCAAGAGCTGGCTGTGTTAGGCAGCCACCTCTCTAATTAAATGTGCCTTTTTGTTCCAGGAGCAAGTGCAGTGATCGCAGCAGTGACTTTACCTTTATCTAAATGTGATTCAGGTGGGGCTTTGCTACATTTCTCCAGTTCACAGCTCGTTCATGTGTTTTTGTGGTTCTCCTCAGATCTAAGAAGCTTGTGAAAAGTTAAAAGATATTTAGAGACAAGGGAAGTTTTATCCACAACTGTGTAGACATGCGCATTTGTATTATCTGTTTGTATATGTGGTTGATGATGACGATCTCAAAATTGATAAGGATATTAAATGTGTGAATGAACTGAGCATGGGTACAGTTTGGGTGGAGGGAGAATTGAGCAGGTCAATTTGAATCTCCGTGTATAAAATGAAATGTAAATTTGTTAAAAGAATTTAGGTGATTAGATAACTGGAGTGTGAAGATATAACCCATTAGGGGTGTCATGCCAAATTAGCATTACCAGACTTTTAACGACCTCCCATTTGTATAATCCTTATTTACACTTGCACCTGATGTCTGCAGCAGACAAGAGACCAGCCCTCCTGTGGGACCAGGAGGTTAATATTAATACCTTGTGTTGCTAAAGAGGAATATTGGGCTGAGAAAGAAACAACACTGAAAATAATTTGCTGAAGGTCGGTCTTGTTCTCAGTACTGGTGTTGCTGATTTCCACTGCCCTTGTATGGCTGGTATTGCTAAGCCCTGGGAAATCAAGGACATTTAAAGGAAAGCTTTAGGGATCTCCACTGGAGATTTTCCACATGCCAGCCTTTGCTGGTCAGATGGAAGTTGCATTGGCATAAAGCCTTAAAGGTGGATGAGGTAAGGATGGAGCTGTGCATCCTGATGTCGTTCTTGTGCCATTGACAAAATTTGGTGCTGATGCCAGGATAAGAGATTCCTTCCTGCACCCACCTCAGTTGATAGTTCCTGTTTGTGTCCCAGTACAAGCATTCATGAACCAGCATTATGCAAAATGCCTTGAGGACAGGGAAGTGCTATTGCTCTTTTCCAAGTGGTGCCACGAGAAAGACATCTGACTTGGGAATATTAGCATGGAAGCAGTCTGTTGGTTATCAAGTTTCATCCTTATCCAAAATTCTGTGAGGAATGACTGTACAGTCAAGAACACAAACCATTATTTCAAATGTGGTTAAACAGAATACTTCTCTTGTACTTGAGCCTTAAGCCAGAATGTTTTTAGGTCCCTGAGAGCTGCTTCAGTGGTTCATGTTGCATCTTAAAGACTGCTTGAGACTTCTTTCATACTGGGATCAAAGCTGCAGTTCTAAAATCCCAAGGGTTAGTTCTATCCATTTCAGAAATTCTTCCTCATCACAGAGTGATGTGCTTTTGTGGATTAAATGTCCCCACACTGCCCTTCCTAATCTGATGGTGTTTGAGTCATACTTTTCTCTGTGTTTTTGTTGTTGTTGTTGTTGTTACTATGAAAAGTCATAGCAACATGAGAAAGAAGACTTATACCCCAACTGAACTAATAAGGTGTACAAAAGCACTCTTTCCTCAGTAGAGAAGTTGTCACCTGGTTCTTTCCATAGAATTGGGAATGCTTCAGACCACAGAAGTTATTCTATTGCAGCTCGCTCTGAGCATTTTAGACATATAAATAAACTTGCTATGGCGACCCTTCATTAAAGGTGTGGGGTTTTATAGCTTTTGCATCTTAGAACATGAAAAGGCCTGTATTAGAAATGACAGCATAATACTGTGTAGACTAATGCATGATTGATTTTTTTTTATTTGAAGCAGTAAAAGTCATGCATTTTGGGGCATTTATTCGGAAAATGTACTTGTTTGTATGGACTAGGTATACTCTGATCTGTACCTAAGCAGCAGACTTGCATGCATATTGTTCTTAATAATTTTATTCTCGTTATTCTCTCATCTGCCAAGACATGCAGGGGACACAGTTATGAAAACAAAACAGCCTCAGAAATGTGGAACATCATAGAGTCATCATTACAAATTAAAAAAAAAAAAAAGGAAAATTAATTACTGACTTATTGGCATCTGGTTCTTTAATTCCCTCCAGAAAAGTTTTCCTAAATGCTTTTAAATGTCTTTATTTGTGTGGTCAAGTACAAATGTTCTGTCTGTGTCATGCTGAGAACAAGGACACTGAATTTGAAGCCAGGCATGTCATCTAACACAGAGATATTGCTGTGAGCTGCACTGTGCTCACTCTTTC